TCACAGATGAAGCTTCCGCCTGAGGCTTCTTCAAGATCCAGGCGTGATGGGCTCAACAGTGACGACATGTATAGGGTTTGGATGACCCGCTTCGATTACCAACATGAAGTGCGGGCTCCACAGGGAGGGGGCTCCCGCCTGCGACTTCCTCGCAATTCATTCACAAACTCGCAATTCAGTTTTGAGGGGCCCAAGCGTGACGACATTTACAGGGTTTGGATGACCCGTTCCCATGACCAACATGAAATGCGCAGGGCTCGTTTCGATTCTTACGACTCTTTCGATTCGACTTCGATGGCTTTCGATTCCGATTCGATTCGACTTGGACTTCCGATTTGGGCTCCGATTTCTCATGGGAAGCATACCAGCCTGCCGATGTCTGCCGATTTGACTTTTCCCGACTCGACTGCCGATTTCCGCCGATCCGATTCATTTCGATCGCCGATCCGACTCATTGATTCGATGGGGTTCCCGCCTGAGATTTCCCCGCAAGTCATTCACAAGCGAGGCTCGCGCCTGAAGCTACTTCAAAATTCAGGCGCGAGGGGCCCAAAAGTGATGACATTTACAGGGTTTGGATGATCCGCTCCAATTACCAAAATGAAGCGCAGGCTCCATAGGGAAGGGGCTCCCGCCTGAGTCTTCTTCGCAATGTACTCGCAAACGAGGCTCCCGCCTGATGTTTCCCCAAGGTGAATGTATGAATGTGTGATTGTGTGAGTGTGTGAGTGTGTTTGTGTGTGAGTGTGAATGAGTGTGGGAGTGATTTCGATGATAATGGTGATGATGATGAGCAGGTGAGCGAGTGAGTGAGTGAGTGAGTGAGTGAATGAGGGACTGAGTGATGATGAAGATGCTGATGATGATCATGTGTGAAGGTGTGAGTGTGTGAGTGGCGAAGAGTTGGGCATGATGATGATTATGATGATGATGATGATGATGATGATGATGATGATGATGATGATGATGATGATGATGATGATGATGATGATGATGATGCTGATGATGATGTGGATGAGGATGAAGATGGGGATGTGAGTGGGCTCCTGCGCGGGGTGTTCAGAGAAAACTGTTCCGACGGCAGGACCCCACACGAGAATATGTTAAGCTTGCCCTTCGCCCTTTCCTCCTCGCCCTGGCGGACACCCTGCGCCGTCGCCGCCTCAGCCAGCGCGCGCGCGTTCGCCGACGGCTAGATCGCGAAGCCTTTGGGGCCTTCCCGCGGGCCATGCCTTTGGGACAACCCCACTGGCCGCTGGGCCGCGGGGGCGGGCTGTCGGGACAACCCCGCGGGCCGGGCCGATGGGACAACCCCGCGGGCCTCCAGGTGGGCGCGGCCGCGCTCGGGCGGGGGGCAGCGCGCAATCCAGCCGTGCTGCGAGCTGCTCCGCGTCGGTTCTGGAGCTCCCCGCTATCTCGTCGAGCTTCCGGAGCGCCTTCCGCAGGGGCGCCAGCGGCCCGCGTTCCAGGAACTCCCGCGCGGGCGGCCGCAGGATCAGCAGTTCCCGCATGCTCGTGGCGCGGGAGAACGTGACGTAGAGGTGCAGCTACCAGTGCTCGTTCGACATGTCCGTGCGACCAGCGTCCTCGTCCTTGGCGCAGTCGATGGTGGCGCCATCTTGGGCCATCTTGGACGCCCTGACCGCTCGCGGGGCGCCCCGTCCAGGTCCAGGGGAGGGGGTAAGGGGAGGGGTCAAGACGCCCTCCCCGCCCGCAAACCGTCTCGCTCACTCCCACCCGCCCTCCCAACACATACGTAGCACTGGAGCCTGGCCCGGGCCGCAGCATATGCAGCAGTCGTGTTTGGATGGGCAGCTACTGGGGGCGAATCCGCCTCCGCTGCCGCCGCCGCCGCCCGCCGCCGCCGCTGCCGCGCCGCCGCCGCCGCCGCCGCGCCGCCGCCGCCGCCGCCACCGCCGCCGCCGCCTCCGCCGCCGCCCGCCGCAGCCGCCGCCGCGCCGCCGCCGACGCCACTGTCCGCCGCCGCCGCCGCCCCCGCTGCCGAATCGCCGCCGCCGCAGCCGCTGGCGCCGCAGCCGCTGCCGCCACCGCCTCCGCCGCCGCCGCCCCCGCCGCCGCCGCCGCCGCCAAAGCCGCAGCCGCCGCAGCCGCTGCCCCCGCCGCAGCCGCCGCTGCCGCCAAGTGTACTCTGTATTTTTTTTTGAAAGGGATGGTGGGGGGAGGCCGCATCGGGTTCGCTTCGCATGCTCAATTTTTTTTTTTTTTTTTTTTTTTTTTTTTTTTTTTGTTTCTCTCTCTTCTTCCACTTTTTTTTTTTTTTTTTTTTTTTTTTTTTTTTTTTTTTTTTTTAAAAAAAAAAAAAATAAATAAAATTATATACATATCATTATTATAGTGTATATATATAAACCTATGTATAAACATATACAAACATATACAGACATATATAATCAAGGGATGGTGGGGGCAGAGTGTGGGTGGTGGGGGGTGCCCTCATGGAGTCGGGTTGGTTCCCATTCGCCTGAGGGAAGGGGTATCTATCAATACGGAACAGTGATAAACCCCTCCCCGAAAAGGGAAGAAAGGAGGTGGAAGAGGCAACGCTCTCGACCAGCACCGCCTTGAGGGCTGGTGACATTATAGATTGTACCACACAGGCGGCCCCGCATAAGCTGCATAACATACATGGATCCATATATATATATATATATATGGAGGTATATCTATATATGGTTCCACATTGGCAACGCAACATCGATTGCCCAACATACGTTGCGCAACATGTGTCGTGCACATTATTAGATTGCGCTACATGTGTTGACCCACATATTCTGTGCAACATCTAACGTCAGCAACACACGGATTTGGGTCCACGCTGCGTAACACCTCTTCGCGATTGGGGATCCTTTGGGACTGGGAGCAGGCGGACGGCCAGAACGCTTCACACGCCTGGCCACTTTTAATAAAAAGGGGGGTTCGGCGGGCAATTGTTCTCTCCCTCTCGTCGCTCCTCCGTCGGTCGGTCCTCTTTGCCAAGTCGTCGTTCCTCGCTGCTCCTCTGTGCAGCCTCTCTTTGCTTTGCTTCTGATGTGTTCGATTGCGCCCGCTTTGTGACTCCGCAGTGACGCCTGGGCGGGTGCCCGGCGGAGGGGGGGTTCTCGGGGTTTGGGCGGGAGGGGGGCGAATGTCAGGCGATCGCAGAAATGGATCAAGGGGGCGTGGATTAGCGACGGGTCCCGTTTCCATGGGAAATCGCGGATTGCCGCCGCTGAGCGAGGCGCCGACGGCCGCACGTTGGGGAGGGCACCTTCCGATCCATGGATTTGGCGACCGCGCGTCAAATCCATGGATCGCTAATCCATGTTTGCGTGCCCCCGAAAGGGGGCAAATGGGGGGGGTCAGTCGAGACGCTGAAAAAAGGAACGCATCTCGAGTTCGGAAGGGGCTCGCCTTTCCTCAGATCCTTCCACGGTCGTTCCTCTGGCGCTCCTCGTGCACGCAGGTGTGTTGATAGGGGCCAATGCTTCTGCCGGGGTGAGGAGGGAGAAAGCGCAGGAATTGGGTCAGCTATGCGTGAGCACGTGTTGGGTTCGATGCGTGGGCCTTATTTCAAGGGAGGAAAAGCCACCCGGACCGGACAATTAGCGTTTACTAAACGGCCCTGGGCGTTTATTAAACAGCCCTGCCCAGCTTGATTCCTTCTTTGGGCGCGTTTACTAAACGGCTTCGCCTGTCGGGGTGGTTATTCTGGGGATGGATTTTTTGACCCTTATATTTATCGCTCCGCACGCAGCGGAGCTGACTGACAAAGCAGGGCTACGACACACAACATACGCGCGCATACACATACACGCCAACCGCTGCAAGCGCGACGGCGAATACTTGCCACATCCTCTGTCCGCATTGCGTCGCCGCCGTTGCCGTCGCCGTCGCCGTCGCCGTCGTCGATGCTGGCCGCCCCCCACCGGCATTGTTGTTTTTTTGTTTTTCATCCGCGCCCCCGAGGGTTGAGCAGTCTTCCCCTGGGGCAGTTTTCGTCTGGGATCCGTTTTCGATGTAACATAACTCAAGGGCTTCAAAAACGCCCCTACCCTTGTTTACGAGGCGCTGTGCGCTGAAACTCCTGTGGGCTGACAGGGTAAACCCTGCGCGATGTGCGGCGTCCTGGCGTCCTCTAGGCTTTGGGGGTTCCCAGGAGGTTTACCGACTACGCACTTGTAACCCAGGGTAGGGTCGTTTTTTCATCCCTCAAATAACGGGCCTGATCGTCAGATCGCTCCACATCCGAAGCCCGAAAACCATCACGTCACTAATTTGGGGCCCCAGGGCCCACTGAGGCCCCAGGGGCCCCAGATTAGTGAAATGATGTTTTTCCCACGTAAGGACCCCGAAATTCATCACTTCACTAAGCCGAGCCCAGGACGAAAGTCAGAGGCCGAATTGCTGCTGTGATGCAACATCGGTCTCGTATCCACATTGGCCAGCTCTGGGCCACCCGCGGCGTCCCACCCGGAGTCTCCGCGCCGGGGTCGCAGCCGCGCCGGCACGACGCGAGCCCATCGCAGAGGTCGCGTGGGCACGGCGTGCGCACTCACGGGGGGGGGTGGCGGAGACCCCTCCTCCTCCTCCTCCCCCTCCTCCTCCTCGTCCTCCTCCCCCTTCTCCTCCTCCTCCTCCTCCTCCTACTCCTCCTCCTCCTCCTCGAAGACCTCCTCCTCTTCGAAGTCCTCCCTCCCCTCCTCCTCCTGCCTTCCCGCTCGGGTTGCGGGTTGCGGGGTGGCGGGGAAGCAGACTTGGCATTGCTTCAAGCACTTGCGCTCGTCTGCGCCGTTTCGGTCTTTGGGCCAGTTGGCCTCGCCTGCGGGCGTCGCGGGGGCCGCGCGGCCGAGTTGGCCGCAGATGCTCGAATCAATGCCAAGCCGAGGGAAGTGTCCGAGATCGAGCGGGCTGACGAAAAGCCCGAGCGTCTGAGATTTTGGGCCCGCCCTCGCTCGTGCCGTCTGCCGCCGCCGTCTGCCGGCGCCGCGGCGCCCCCCGAGGAGTGGAGGGCGCAGCGGGGCCTGCAGCTCCGGGAGCGGGCGCAGGTGGCCGCCGACCCGGGCAGGCCCTGCAGGGGCTCGCCCTGCTTGCCCGCCTCAACTTACGTAGGGCGTGTCCCCCTACAGGGGGATTTTCGTCGAAAAATAGAAGGTACCCCAAAAGTGCCCCCCAAAAGGCAACAAACATATTAGAAAAATAGTCCCCAGACTATTTTTGGACTATTTTTTGATTCTTTTTGGGGTATTTGTTAGTTTTCGTCGAAAATCCCGCTGTAGGGGGACAGGCCCGACTTAAGCCTCGTCCCCGGAGATCCGAGGTTCCGAAGAAGACCGAGCGGCCAGTGTCTGGCTACTTTGGGCCTCTGTGGGCCCTCCACGAGCCCCAGGGCCGTCCACAGAAAGACCTGGGACGAAGAACGTCGGGGGCGGCAAGGGGGGGGGCGATGACCAGGGGGGTGTGGACATCATGGCGGGGGCCTTGAGATCTCCCCAGATTTCATGGCACCACTTCCTATTTCAACACGTCCTAGGCCCCCCCCCCTGGGGCCGCGCACGTGCCGCTGGCCATGATTTGCGCCCCCCCCCCCTCCCCGAGAGCGGGTCCAGGGGAAGCTGTCCAGACCTCCCGGGGTTCACGCATCCCTCAAAAAATGGCAGCGCCGGACGCCTGGGCCCTCGGCCTCCTTCGGCTCCTATCGGAGTTCTCGGACGTTTCCGTCGGCACCTGGCGGCCGTCCTGCCTCGGGATGACGTTCACTGATGCTGCGCCTCGCCGAGAGCGTTCTCGGAGGGCGCCCGAGTCGTCCCGAGCGGCCTCCAGAGGCCCGGGCTATGGCCCGAAAGCCAGGGGAGGGAGAGAGTCGCGCACACGAAAGAGTGACCCCCCGCCGGAGTGACCGTTTGGTGCGCGGCTTTCGGGGGGCTCTGGGTGTCCGCGCCAGAGCACGCAGGCTGGCACTGCCGCATTCGGAGAAGAGAAACGCTATAAACACAAACTTTTGGCGCTCCGCGCGGATTCCTTGGACTCGCGCTGGGCCCTCCTGGCGGCGCCTCCGGCGCCGCCCCTGGCGCGCCCAGCGCGCCAGGGAGAGGGGTCCAGCGCGGATCCAAGAAATCCGCGCGGAGCGCCAAAAGTTTGTGTTTACGGTGTTGTTTCTTCTTCTACGCATCGCATGCAGTGATCGCTATGCCGCGCACCACAGGTCACTCTTGCCCAGGGTCGCTCTCGCGTGCAGCCAGCTCCTCGTCCTCGCCGCCCTCCGAGGCCTCCCCGCCCCACCCCCTCCCCCGAACCCGCGCGCGCCCTGGGCCCCTCCTCCTCTCCTCATCTCCTCCTCCTCCTCCTCCTCCTCCCTCCTCCTCCTCCTCTCTCACGCCTCCTCCTCCTCGCCTCCCTCCTCCTCCTCTCCCCTCCTGACGCTCCTCCTCCTCCTCCTCCTCTACGCCTTCCCCTCATCCTTCTCCTTCTCATACTTCCATCCTGAAGCTCTCCTCCTCCTCCCCTCTCTTCTCCATCCTGTTTCCAACCCTCCTCCGCCTCAGCCTCCTCTTCTCCTCTCCCTGCTGCTGCTCCTCCTACCTCCTCCTGCCTCTCCCTTCCTCCTCCTCCTCCTCTCTCCTCCCTCCTCCCCACCCGTCTACTCTCTTCCTAGCTCTCCTCCCCTCCTCGTCGCCCCTCCTCCTTTCTCCTGCTGCTTGCGCTCCTCCTCTCCTCTTCTCCTCCTTCTCCTCCCCTCTCCCTTCCTCCTCTCCTCCCTCCTCATATGCTCCTCCTCCTTCTGCCTTTCCTCCTCCTCCTTCTCTTCTCCTCCTCCTCGCTCCTCCTCCTCCTCCTCCTCCCTCCTCCTCACTCCTCTCCTCCTCCTCCTCTCCTCCTCCTCCTCCTCCTCCTCCTCCCCCTCCTCCGCGTGGCCACTGATCCGAGGCAGGGACGTATACCCACTGACCGCCTGTCTCTGTGCGCCCCTGGTCGGTATCGTTTAACCGATCCCCATCCCCATCTCCATCCTCTTCGAGACCCCCACCAAATTACCACCCCAGTTGGGGATACACCCCTCGAAACCCGAGGAGAACGGCCTATATCCCCATCTAGGGGGGGGTAAATCGGGCAGCGGGGCCCACGCCGCTGGGGATGGGGATCGGTTAAACGATACCCACCTGGGCCGCCCGCTCGGGCCGCGCGGAGGCCATCCCTATCTCTCGCCAATGGGGACGCGTGTCCTGTGGGAAACGGGTCCTGAGGTCCGTCGCCGTTTTCGGGCTCTCGGGGCCCTCCACGGGCCTCAGGGCTGTCAGAAAACGACTCGGGATGAAAATCTCGTCCAGGGTTCAGGACCCGTTTCCCTCAGGACCCGTTTCCCCCCGTGCTGCATCTTCGGGGCGTAAGGCCTCCTCCCCGCCTCCGCCCGCGCTGCCCTCTTTCGCCTCGCCCCTGTTTCGGCAGGCACGTATTTCCATGAGGCAGAGGAGTGCGTGGTCGAGGTCACCTCCAGGGGCTCGGTGGCCACACGTGGAGCCCACCCCAACCCTCCACGATTTCTGAGGGGGGTGGGGGTTCGCTTCGTTTGGAAGGTCCGGAGCGGAGTGAACCCCCACCCCCCTTCAGAAATTGTAGGGTGTGCGGGTAGGGGTTCACTTGTGGCCACCGAAGGGGCGCGAAGAAACCCGCGCTTCGCGCGTCGCGGCCTGGGCTGGAGAGCTGCCTTTCATCAAGGCGGAATCGCCGGGGCGTGAAGATAACCGCGCGTCGCGCATTCGCGGGGCGCGATGCACGAGTCAGTAGGGTGACCCAGATAGTCCGCGTGTTCAGCGCCAGGATCCTTTCCCTCGTGCCAAGCCGGCCCCTGGAGAGGCTGCGAGCGGTCCCGCGGAGACGGCGGCGGCGACGAGGGCGACGGCGCCAGTCCTTGACCCTCGACGCGACGAGACACGCCCGAACGCCCCGAACCTGGAACCTCGAACGACCGACGACGACGAAGACAGCGGCGGCGCGCTGGAGAGGCCGACAGCGGCCCCGCGCACGCGGGCCGGTTGAGCGGCCGGGCCGCGCCAGACGCCAGAGATGGATGTCGATTGGGTTTGGGCTGTGCAGGAGTCGATCCAGGACCCGTGCTCCATTGAGACCCCTCTCCCTCGGAAGTACCAGAACGGTGCGGGGACCTCATCGTCGTGTGAGTCACTGGGGACTCGGGGTGACCGTACGCTTATGGGACTCTGGGCGTTCTCCGAGGATGCCTCGGGCGACGGGGGCGTCCAGGGTCCCGAGACGGTGCGGTGACTGACCGTGCGGTGAGGTCTCTCGGACTTTCGAGGTCACCGCACGCTCTGCCGCCGCACCATCTTGGGACCCCCAAGTTCCCCTCATGCCAAGCTGGCCCCCGCGGAGCTGCATGCGGTGTCGCGCCCGCGGGCCACGAGGGTGCCCCAGAGGTCCGGAGGGCCGGAGAGGTTGTCACCCGAACGCCCGCGACGGCGGCGACCCTGGCCGGAGCAGTGGCGGCAGCGGCGGCGCCCCCGAGAGGCTGCCAGCGGTCGCGAGCCTGCGGGCGGGCGCCGACGCGTTGGCCCACAAGATGACGCCGAGCTCCAGCGACGGCTTCCTCCCGCCCGCCGCGGGGGCGGCGTCGACGCCGCCCGCGGCGGGGCCGACGAGGCGGCCCGCCGTCGTCGTCGTCGTCGTCGTCGTCGTCGTCGTCGTCGTCGTCGTCGTCGTCGTCGTCGTCGTCGTCGTCGTCGTCGCCGTGTTCTTCGTCGTCGTCGTCGTCGTGTTCTTCGTCGTCGTCGTCGTCGTCGTCGTCGTCGTCGTCGTCGTCGTCGTCGTCGTCGTCGTCGTCGTCGTCGTCGTCGTCGTCGTCTGCTCGTTTGCGCGCTGTTCTGCCGTGCCGTTCTGCCCGCCGCAGGGCGCTGCCAGCGCCACGGGGGGCGAAAGCGCCTCTCCCGTTTCAGCGAACGTCCACGAGGGCGTATTCATCGCGTGTCAGCACAAGGCAACGCCAAGTTCAAACTTCGACGAGCGTAGCAACAACGCGCCATTCGTGTACAATTCTGCGGGCCTCTTGGCGGTTTCTTGGGGCCGTCTGGTGGTTTCTTGGAGCTCTTGGAGGCATCCAGGGGGCCCCGGGGGTCTCTTGGTGATCTTGAAGGCTTCTTGGGGGCTTCTTGGGGGTCTCTTTGGGGCCTCTTTGGGGCCTCTTTGGGGCCTCTTGGGCCGTCCGTGGGCGCTCTTGCGCCGTCTGGCCCCGCCCGAGGCTGCAGTGGGAGCCTCTTTGTGGCCGCAGGGGCTCGAAGACCTTCACCTCCAGAGCTGAGCGGCTCAGGCTCTGGACTTCAGGGTGGGTGCTGCGGCACCTCCTCCTCCTCCTCCTCCTCCTCCTCCTCCTCCTCCTCCTCCTTCTTGTCCTCCTCCTCCTCCTCGTCCTCCTCCTCCTCCTCCTCCTCGTCCTCCTGCCTCCTCCTCCTCTCCTCCTCCTCCTCTCCTCCTCCTCCCCCCACTCTCCTCTCCTCCCTCCCCTCCTCCTCCTCCTCTCCTCCTCCTCCTCCCTCCTCATCTCCTCCTATCCTCCTCCTCCTCCTCCTCCTCCTTGTCCTCCCGGTGGGTCTGGGGCCGGAGCGGGAGCCGAGGCCGGGGCCTGGGCCGGGACCTGGGCCGGGGCGGGAGCGGGCGCCTCCGAGGCCGGGGCCGGGGCCGAGGCGCCGGGGCCGCGGCGGGCGCCGGGGCGGAGGCCAGGGCCAGGGGGCGGAGGAGGAGGAGGAGGAGAGAGGAGGCGGAGGAGGAGGAGGAGGAGGAGGAGGAGGAGGAGGAGGAGGAGGAGGAGGAGGAGGAGGAGGAGGAGGAGGAGAGGAGGAGGATAGGGAGGAGGAGGAGGAGGAGGAGGAGGAGGAGGAGGAGGAGGAGGAGGAGGAGGAGGAGGAGGAGGAGCAGGAGGAGGATAGGGAGGAGGATAGGAGGAGGATAGGGAGGAGGATAGGGAGGAGGATAGGGAGGAGGAGGAGGAGGAGGAGGAGGAGGAGGAGGAGGAGGAGGAGGAGGAGGAGGAGGAGGAGGAGGAGGAGGAGGAGGAGGAGGAGGAGGAGGAGGATAGGGAGGAGGAGGAGGAGGAGGAGGAGGAGGAGGAGGAGGAGGAGGAGGAGGAGGAGGAAGCCTCTCGGGAGCGGAGAAGAAGAGGGGGGTGATGACTAGGGGGGGGTGGACTTCATGGCGCGGGCCATAATTTTTCCTCAGATGTCGTGGCGCCTCTTCTTGTGTCATTCCGTCCCTGGTCCCCCCGCTGGGCCGCGCACAGGCCGCCGGTCATGATTTGCACCCCCCCCCTCTTGGACACCCCCCTCTTGGCCGCTCCCGAGCCTTGAGACGGGGGTCAATGCAAACAGGGGTCAGCCAGAGCGCCCGATCTTGCAGGATCCTGCAGGGCCAGGGGCGCACTGATCCGGGTTTGGGTGCAGGATCCTTCAGGATCTTGCAGTATTCTTCGCATTGACCCGGGTTTGGCTGCAGGATCTTGCAGGACCTTGCAGGATTCTGCAAGGCCTGACTGACCCAGGTTTGGATTGACCTGGGTCAGAAGATCCCCGAGAGTCGATAACCCGGAACTTCGGAGTTCCGGGTTGTTCCGTTTCCACCATTTCCCCCGCGTTCTCAGCGAGAGTATCTTTTTTTCCCTCCTCTTTTTCTTCCTCCTCTCCGCGAGGGCAAGGAGGAGCAGCAGGAGGGACGCAGAGGACGAGGAGGGCGAGGAAGACGACGAGGACGAGGACCACGAAGATGAGGAGGACGAGAGTGCGGAAAGCTAATGGAGGGAGGGTGAAACGGAACGGAGGGAGGGTACGATGACACGGAAGGAATGGACAACGAAACGAAAAGGAGCAGTACAACGAAATGTATGGTGGGTAGAATGGAACAGCGGGAGGGCAAAACGGAACGGGGGGAAGGGAAAGCGGAACGGATGGAGGGTGAGACGGAACGAATACGTGTAAAACGGAGTTGAGGGGAGGTAGAAGAGAACGGAGGGAGGGTAACACAGAACCGAGAGAGGGTAACAAGGAACAGAAGGACGGGATAACGAAACGGAAGGGAACAGTAAAACGAAACGGAAGGGTAAAACGGAACAGCGGGAAGCTGAAACGAAATTCAGGGAACATGCATAAGAATTGAGTGAGGGTCAGTCGGAACGGACAAACATATCAAGTGGAGTTGAGGGAGGTCAATAAAAGGAGCGGAAGCAGGGTAACACGATTTCGAGAGAGGGTGAAACCAAGCGGATGGTGGAAAGAGGGTAACACGAAAAAGAGGGAGGGTACATTGGAACGGAGGGAAAGTAAAACGGAACGGAGGTCGGGCGAGACGGAATGGAGGGAGGATAACACGGAACGTAAGAGAAGGGCGGAAAGGAACGGAACGGAAGCAATAAGGGCAAAGGGAACGGAGGGAAGATAACACGGAACGGATCATACAACGGAGTGGAAGGAGGGTACAATGATTCCCAGGAGGTAACGATAATTATCATTATCATCATCATGATCAAGATCGTCATCACCGCCATGATCGTCATCATCGTCAGTAACGTCATTTGTAATGCCATCATTTTCGTGTGTAATTCCATTATCACCATCATCGTCACATTCATGATCATCCGCATCAGCAGCAGCAGCAGCAGCAGAAGCATCAGCATCTCCATCAAGATCATCACCACCACCAACCATGTAATCGGTGTTGTTAAGTCGTTCCAGATTTCCCGCCGCTGGCTCCTCAATGGAAACGCACATCGTTAGAAAGTAAAGAATGGTCGCCTCAAAATGTTTCGGCTGTTGTTCTTGCCTCAGTTGAGGCCACGGGTTTCGCCCCCCAGGGGCCCGAGATCGCGCTTTCGGACCGTCAGGGAGGGATCCCGGACGAAGAGCTGCCTCGGGAGAGGGAGAAGCGACACCACCAGCACCAGGGGGGCCACCTCCACGATGCCTCCCCGAGCTGGTGACAAGACAGGGGATGTCTCGAGCGAGAGGGGTGAACCGCACCACCTGGGAGACCCCCCCCTCGCTCCTCCCGCTGGTGGTCCCTGGTGATGGTGGCACCGCTTTTCCTTGATCCCGCTGCCCCCTGGGAAGGGGTCCGGACCTCTGGGGCAGTGGATCGGAGAAAAAACGCATCGTCGGATGTCTGGGTCTGTTGAGAGCACATCAGGGCTATCCTCAGTGCAAGCACTGTAGACACACAGTGTAAGTGAGTGTGGCAGTAGTGGTAGGTCGAGGCATATACGTGCAGGTCTATGATGTAGGGTCAGATGAGGGTATACGCAGAGGTACCAGGCGGTGGGGGGGATGACGAGGACGAGCACAGAGGCAGCCGAAGGCAGATGCAGAGGTATCAGGAGAAGAGCCAGGACGAGGACGAGGGTAAAGGCGGAGTGCTGGTCCCCCAGGCGGCGCAAGCGCTCGCCGCGCGCCGTCGTGCCCAACGGGGCCCTGTCCGCGTACCCGATTCTGCGCCTGACTCCGCTGCCCCAGCTGGCGCAGCGGCCGCCGAAGGCCGGCCGACCGAGCGCGCACGGGGGCCAACTCAGGCGTGCGCGGGAGCGCCGTCTCCAGGCCTCCCAGATGGAATCGGAGCAGATGGGGTCGGGGGATCGCGCCGCATCGCCGATGCATCGACGAGGGGGCTCGATGTGGAGAGCGTGTTTCCCCACGCCGACGTCGCGCTGATGCATCGCCGACGTCGCCGATGCATTGGCGATGCGGCGCGATCCTTGGACCCCATCTGGGAGGCCTCGGCGAATACATCTGGACTTGGCGGTCATGTTTCGCGCTCACAGCAGAGTAACACGCATGGCGCGTCGACGCTCGTCGGCACGCTGAGAGTGGTCGACGGCCGCGGGCGTCGGCACGTAGGTGTTGCTGGCGAGCGCTCACGTATCACATTGTGTTCGCCGATGGGATACGAGGAGGAGGAGGAGGAGGAGGAGGAGGAGGAGGAGGAGGAGGAGGAGGAGGAGGGAGCTAACTCAGACATGCGCGGGCATTCGAGCCAGCGAGCGCGGCGACTTCGTCATTCCTGCCTCGCTCCCCCCCCTTCTTCTACATTCGGGTATTCGTTGAGGTCTACAGCTCTGGAGGGCTACCTTCCGAGCTCTGGAAGGCAAGGCTGTCTCAGACGTGTTGTCGACGTCTTGTCGAGGACCGAACCTGTTGAACGTTTTTGGTCGCCTCGGACCTGTGAGAGCATTCACGGGACCTCCAGATTCACAGAATTTTCGTGGATTGGGACTTCCAATCCCAGCTTTGTTGTCCCCCAAGCCCTTGCTGTGTTGGGCACTCGTTTGGAGTCCTTACTCGCTTCCTCTTCGATTCTTCTTCGCTTCTCTCTCACACTCTTCCACCGCATCACCAGGTGCACAACTTACTAGTCCGCGGCCCGCTCTAGCCCGAACGAGGTGTGACTCACATCGCTGCGACGACAAATTTGCTCGCCTCCCCTCACTCGCCATCCCTGGGCGCTGCCAACTGTCGCCACATTCGTGAGCTCCTGGGACGTCCAGCGGAGCGGAGTCCTTGCGCGAACCCGAGCCAGATCTCGCCCCCCGGGGCGCTGCCGAGTGCACAGCTCCCACCACTCCTGCGGGTGAGCCCCTGGGTGGCCCAGCGGAATGACGTCTCAGGTGGGTCCAAAGTAGACAACGCTGTATGCTGCGTTGCCAAGTGCACAGCTGCCACACATGCCGGGCGCTCCTTGGATGTCCAGCGGAGGGACGCGTTGCGGTGTTGTTGTAGCACTTGCAAGACGCCGGCTTTCGATTCACCGGCTTTCGTTGTCCCCGCCTTTCTGGCTTCTGGGTGTTCGTACGGCATACGTTCCAAATGCAGCTCACAGAAGGGACAGCGCGCCCCAGCTCACAGAAGGGGCAATGCCCCCCTTCAAATGCCCAGTGGTTGGGGATAGGGGGTGGATTTGTTGATGTCGCTATTCGTTTAAGATGGATTGGGTACGTCCCTGGGTTTACATTTCCCAACCATCCTGCGGTGTTGGGTCCACGTTTTGAAGAGACAGCGCCCCGCGTCTCCTCCTCTCCTCTCCTCCTTCCTCCCTTTCTCCCCCTCCTCCTTCCTCCCCCTCACACGTTTCGTGGCCCCGTAGGGAGCTCCACCGAAGTCCACAGTGGCTGCTCTCGCATGCAGGACCCCACCCAGTACAGCGTTTTGTGGCCCCACAGGGGGCTCCACCGAAGGCCCCAGTGGCTGCACTCGCATGCGGGACATCCGCGCTGAACAGCGCTTCGTGGCCCCATGGGGAGCTCCACCGAAGGCCCCAGTGGCTGCTCTCGCATGCGGGACCCCCACCGAGTGCAGAGTCTCGTGGCCGCATCGGGAGCTCTCCTCCTTGCCTGTGCCCTCATCAGTATGCGTCTCCCCCGCCCAGTGCAGCGCTTCGTGACCCCACAGGGAGATCCACCGAAGGCCCCAGGGGCTGCACTCGCATGCGGGACCCCCGCGCTGTAGAGCGTTTCGTGGCCCCATGGGGAGCTACACCGAAGGCCCCGGTGGCTGCTCGCTCGTGCGGGACCCCACGCATTACAGCGTTTCGTGGCCTCATAAGGGGCTCCACCCAAGGCCCAATTGGCTGCTCTCGCATGCAAGACCCCCGCGCTGTGCAGCGCTTCGTGGCCCCATGGGGAGCCTCACCGAAGCATTAGCGGCTGCACTGGCATGCGAGACCCCCGCCCAGTACAGCGTTGGGTGGCCCCATAGGGAGCTCCACCGAAGGCCCCAGTGGCTGCACTCGCATACGGCACCCCCACCCAGTACAGCGCTTCGTGGCCCCATAGGGAGCTCCACCGAAGGCCCCAGTGGCTGCACTCGCATACGGCACCCCCGCCCAGTACAGCGCTTCGTGGCCCCATAGGGAGCTCCACCGAAGGCCCCAGTGGCTGCACTCGCATGCGGCACCCCCACCCAGTACAGCGCTTCGTGGCCCCATAGGGAGCTCCACCGAAGGCCCCAGTGGCTGCACTCGCATGCGGGACCCCCGCCCCATAGGGAGCTTGTGGTTGCTTTGGGGGCATCGGGGCTGTTTCGGGACTGTATCGGCATAGGAAGCGAAGGGCGAAAACGCCCAAATCATTACACAACCGTTCGTAGTTGAGTAGTATTGGCTTTTGTCTGGAAGTTTATGAAGGAGCTGTCTTGAACCATCCCGGGTTGCCTCGGGGCCATCTTTGGGGCCTCCTGGTGTTGTCTTAGGGGCAGAAGGGGGTCCCTTCAGATGCTGTCTTGGAGCCTGTGCCCCCCCTTGAATCCGCTCTTGGGCCGCCCTGGCGCCCCGTGGGAGTTGTCTTGGTCCACTGCTGGGGCTCCCTTCTTCGGGGCTTCGGGGCCCTTTCCCCCCGGGCGTCTCGACCCCCAAGATGGCCCCAGGCGGACCTCGGAGGAGCCCGAGAGAGAGGCTACGAGAGCCCAACGAGCGCCTTGACACGCCCCCCCCCACGCGAGCCAGGACGGCCCCATCTCGGAGCCGTCTTCGGCGCCTCCCGGAGCCGCCCGTGGCACGTCCGCCACCGCGCCAGCCCGGAGCTCTCTGCGGGGGGCGACCCTCTGAGCACCGCGCAGAGCTCGGAGGTCGATCGACCGCTCACCCCTGGCACGTCGATCAGTGAATTGGCCGTTTTCGGTTCGCGAGGGGGCGTCGAGGCCGTCGTTTCTACGGGTCCAGGTCCGTCGGTTTCGGTCCTGGGCCGTTCTCACTCAGAGGGAGGTTTATTCGAGGGAGGTTTGTCCACCGCCGATTTCTGGGCCCCTCTTGGGAGCCGTCTTCGGCGCCTCTTGGAGCCGCCCGTGGCACATCCGCCACGGTGCCAGCTCGGCACTCTCTGCGTGGCGACCCCCTCGTGATTGATTCCGTCCCCCCTCCCCTATCCTTGGCAGCCTGTCCAGACATGACGCCCAGGCGATCAGCCAGGATCGGGGAAGCAGATGAGCATGCAGTTAAGCAGCCAGGGCCAACAATACTGGACTTATAGACTCGTTGTAGTTTTTCGGGGAGCTCTTAGAGTCAGTTTGAAGGTCTCTTGGACTCCTCTTGGGACCGTTTGGGGCCCTCTTGGGGCTTTTGGTGGGCCTTCTTTTGGTGAGCAATAGCAGAAGGAAGAGGATGGACGAGGAAGGGTTCGACGACGACGACGCTGACGATGACGAGGATCAGGAGGAGGGCGACAGCCACGACAGGAGTCAGCAACGACGACTTCGCGGATCGTTCGCACCGAGAACATATTGAAGCCTTTTGGGGGCCATTTTTGGAGCGTTCGGGGCCCTTTTGGGGACCTTTGAGAGCATCTTCGAGGATGTCAATCCAAGAGGGGGGGTCCTCAATTCAGGGCGCCCCGGGTGGGCCAGAGAAGTCGCCCAAGGGCATCCTCTTGAAACACTCTCGGAGCGCTCTTGGGGCCGTCTTGGGGCCCTCGGGGTCCCCTGTCGGGGCTCGCCTGGGCTACGGTAGGTTCGTGTCGTGTCGACCAGCGGCGACCCCAGCGCGGACGTTCAAGGTGGAACGCCGCTGGCGACCCAGAATCTATCGATGTTGAACGATCGGACGTTGCGGCAGCGGCCGATCGTTCAAGGTTGAACGATCCCTGCGGCGTCAAAAACCAACGCTGGGGTCGACACGACACGAACCTACGCCCAGACGCTTTCTTAATGCCCAGACGCTTTCTTAATGCTTACCGATGAGCGCCGTGTGAGAAAAAGAGCTCTACGAGGGCCCCGGCGGTAACCTGGTTGACGGTTTACCGCCAGTTAAACTGTCGGGGCTCGCCTGGGCTACCTTGCAGACGCCACGAGGCCTCAAACGCCCATCGGAAGCCGGCGCTTGCTGCCTCGGCAGGAGGAGGGGAAGAGGCGCACGCGGGCGAGCGCGGCCAGCGGGGGGAGGGCCCTTCGAAGACTGCAGAGCCCTCCTCCTCCTCCTCCTCCTCCTCCTCCTCCTCCGCCTCCTCCTCCTCCTCCTCCTCCTCTTCCTCTTCCTGCCTCTCCTTGCCTTCTCCTCCTGCTCCTGCCTCTTCTTGCCTCCTCCTCATCCTGCCTCCTCCTCCTCCTCCTCCTCCTCCTCCGCCTCCTCCTCCTCCTCCTGATCCTCCTCCTCCTCCTCCTCCTGATCCTCCTCCTCCTCCTCCTCCTCCTCCTCCTCCTCCTTGCAGCACCTGGCATTTTAGCACGCCTCAGCGTGCCAGTGGGCACGGTGGCGGATGCCCCCCACGCCATCCTTGTGAGACAAAAGCCGTGCAAAAGTGGCCGCGGAGTGCCAGCTCACGATGCAGATCTTGCCGTCACGCGCGCTTCGTCTGAGGCTCGCCCCCTTGACCTGGCGTTGGGCGGGCAGGGTGTCACCAGAACACGTGGAGCCAGGTTTTATTGCCACCGCAGCTTAATTGTAGATTGGTCGCGCGCTGCCGTCATCTGTGGCTCAATAGCGGGTTGACGAGCCACACTGGCGAAATTAAGCTCAGCGCTAATGTATTTTGCACTTTGGGATTGCCACGTCAAAACAAACAATGAGAGGCTTCGGTAGCAAATCATGGGAGCCTTGTATACTCTCGCAACCCCGTCTTTAGGGTACACTAACACCGATTAATCGATGAGATAGCGCCGATTTCGCGTCGATTAGCGAAAATGATCGTCGACTAGCGTCGATCAGCGTCGATTCGCAAGAGCCAACAAGATGGGATGGGAGTCTCCCATGGGTTGCCGCAGAGGGGGGAGGCCAGCTAGTAAATCACATAAGCTTCTGTTCGTCTTGGATTGGATACATATCGGCGAATAGCGCGCCCAGTCGCGCCTAACGGTGCTCAAATAGCTCCCAGTAGCGGCCAATGGCTCCCAACAGTGCCATGTGAGGGAGATGCGTTGTGTTCGCTTTGCGCTCGTCTGGGCGCGCTTTTGGGCGCCATGGGGACGACCAATTTCTTCCGTGAGTCGCTCTCGAAAGGAGAGAGACCGCCAGACATCCCTCCACGACCTGATGTCATCCCAGAGCGAGCGGATGCCATCCCAAAGCGAGCGCCCCCGCTCGTGCCAGCGCCGTCCAGAGTGCACACATGTGGTGCGATCCTTCACGCCTGCCCGCCCGCCAGCATGCCCGCCCGCTCCGCCGGCACCCAGCCTCCCGCCTGCGCGTTCGTCGTCGTCTGGCTGCGCTTCCCCCTCTCCCACATTCGCCCACCGTGGCGACGCGCACGGTTCTTCACCACCCACCAAACCACCCCAACCCAACCCGAAGGCTCAGATTTACCCTCGATTTCTAGTGGGGGGGGGTCCAGGAACATCGAAAAAACACATATGGAGCCCATACCCCCCCCAACCCGAAATTCGGGTCTTCGGGTTGGGTTGGGGTGGTCTGGTAGGTAGTCATCTGGCCTGGAGAGCCGAGCCTCTGACGCCACTCGCTGTCCCCGCCACGCCTCCGCACCCACGGCACGCGGAGACCGCGGAGGCCGCCGCGCTTCGGAGCTTCGCCACAGCGGCAGCGGGGGTGCCCGGGCTGCTCCGCAGGCACGGCGCGGGCGCGGTGCGCCGGCGGTCGCGGCCGCGGGCACGGCGCGGGCGGCACGCCTCGGCTGCGCGTGCGAGGGGCCCTCTCGCCAGAGTTCAAGGGAGGAAAAACCACCCCGACCCCGACAATTGGCGTTTACTAAACGACCCTGGGCGTTTACTAAACGGCCCTGCCCCGTTTGATTCTTTCTTCGGGTGCGTTTACTAAACGGCTTCGCTTGTCGGGGTGGTTATTCTCGGGGTGGATTTTCTGCCCTCCAAGAGTGACCTGTGGTGCGGGCTCACAGGGGCGCCCCAAGCGCCAGCCTGCGCGCGTGGATCTGGCCTCCCCGCGGCCCCCGGACGCCGCGCAGCGAAGATCACCCTTGCCCGGGGTCACTCTTGGCGTGTGGTCGAACTCCTCTGCACGCGGGTGGACGAGCTCTGCTCCCGGGCTGGCCAGGCCATCGGAGGAGGGTCCGTGGAACCAGCAGCAGTCGGCCTTCGGGGGCCCCGTCGTCGCCACGGCTGGGCGCAGCTCGAAGACCTGGTGAGTTTCGGCCCCGAGGTCGGGTGACCGATTTTGAGCTGCCGTTGTCTCCATCAGCCCTGCCTCGAGGCCATCCGTTCAGGTCTTCTTTATTGCTGTTGCTTGAGCCGCTGTAGACATCGTCTCCTTGGGTCCCCCGCGAAGACAAGAAGGGCAGTCTGTTTGTCAGCACAAGCTGTTGTGAAATTATCAGAAATCATACCGACAGCTGTGGCACGATCCCGAGGGGTAGATACAGTGGTGACGATTGTCCCGCGGTTCAGCGCCAAGTGGATTGAACAAGTGTGACGTTCCAGTGAGCCGATTTTTCCATGTAGAACTGATCGAAATCGGAGGTTTGGGGGGGGAATCGAAGTGCAGCGGAGTTTCGGTTTCGATTCACGTGACGCGCGTGCGAGCGAGACGAAGCTGCGCGAGGGCGAGGCAGATCCTGGCCTTGATAGGCCAGGTCTGTGTCATATTTTTCCCCCCCTCAGGTTGGGCGGTCTTCTTTCTCGTGCGGCGGCGCAGGAAGAGGATGATGCTACTGCTGATGATGATGATGCTGCTGATGATGATTATGATGATGCTGCTGGTGATGATGATGATGATGATGATGCTGATGATGATGATGATGATGGTAATGACGAAGACGACGAGGATGATGATGATGAGGATGAGGAAGAGGATGAGGATGATGATGATGCTGATGCTGATGATGCTGATGATGATGCTGAGGATGATGATGATGATGATGCTGATGATGATGATAATGCCGAAGACGACGAGGATGATGATGATGATGATGATGATGATGATGATGATGATGAGGATGAGGATGAGATGAGGATTAGGATGATGATGATGATGATGATGATGATGATGATGATGATGATGATGATGATGATGATGATGATGATGATGATGATGATGATGATGATGATGATGATGATGATGATGATGATGATGATGATGATGATGATGATGATGTATGATGCTGATGATGATGAGATGATGATGATGATGATGATGATGATGATGATGAGGAGGAGGAGGAGGAGGAGGAGGAGGAGGAGGAGGAGGAGGAGGAGGAGAGGAGGAGGAGGAGGAGGAGGAGGAGGAGGAGGAGGAGGAGGAGGAGGAGGAGGAGGAGGAGGAGGAGGATGGGGATGAGGATAAGGAAGAGGAAAGGGGTTGCGCCCGCCATCCCTGTAACTTTTACTTTACAGGCTGTACGACGAAAGTGCGCGCCGCTAAGGACAGCGCGAGCACCATTTTTGTAAAATGCTCGCAAGTTTTACGGCGAGCATGCGCGGTGCTATGGCGAGAGCCCCTTTCTAAACATGACTCCCGTTCCATCTTTGTAGCTGTTGCATGCTTCGAGGACGAATGCGCTGCTCGCTATGGCGAGGGCCGCCCCATTTTGACCCCCCTCCCCATGCGTGTCATCGTTGCAATTTTCAAGCTTCAGGATCATGCGTGGTGCCGACGTCTCGGGCGAAACGCCCGCCTCGCCCTTTCGACACCTCTGGTGGTGCGGCAGGAAGGGGCGATCGAGAAGGAAGAGGGATGGAGGAGAAGGAGGAGGAGGCAGGAGGAGGAGCCAGGAGGAGGAGGAGGACGACGAGGAGGACGATGATAACGAGGAGGAGCACGAAGCGAAGCAGGAGGAGAAGGAGAAGAGGAGGAGGAGAGGGAGGAAGAGTACCAGGACGGTCCGCCTTGCCGATTGCCGCGCACCCAGGGGGCGCGAGGAGGAGGGGGAGGGGGAGGAAGAGGAGGAGGAGGAGGAGGAGGAGGAGGAGGAGGAGGAGGAGGAGGAGGAGGAGGAGGAGGAGGAGGAGGAGGGAGGAGGAGGAGGAGGAGGAGGAGGAGGACGAGGAGGACGAGGAGGACGAGGACGAGGACGAGGAGGACGAGGAGGAGGAGGAGAGGAGGCGAGGAGGAGGAGGAGGAGGAGGAGGAGAGGAGGAGGAGGAGGAGGAGGAGGAGGAGGAGGAGGAGGAGGAGGAGGAGGAGGAGGAGGAGGAGGAGGAGGAGGAGGAGGGGAGGAGGAGGAGGAGGGAGGAGAGGAGAGGGAGGGAGGAGGGGAGGGGAGGGGAGGGAGGGAGGGAGGAGGGAGGGAGGGAGGAGGAGGAGGAGGGGAGGGAGGAGTAGGAGGAGGAGGAGGAGGAGGAGGAGGAGGGAGAGGAGGAGGGCCGAAGTCTTCGGGGGGGGGGGCAGGCCAGGCCCCCAGCGACCGGGTTTGGTTTGTCAATCTCGAGGCGGGGGGGGGGGGGGGGCGCCCTCCCCCAGGGAGGCCAGGGGTCGATTCGAATCTGGGAGATCTCAGTGTCGCAGCACTGGTCATGCAGTGGGGGCCCATGCCACGAAGCACCCTGCTTGCCTCCAGGGTGCCCTGGGCTTCTTGGGCTTCGGTGGTTTTGCGATGGGCAGCGCGGCGTGCCCTCACCACAAATCGATGGACGTCCTGGGGTCTCAGGGTTAGGTTCCATGTGGAAGGTTTTTTGTGGTCGGGCCCCTACTGTATCGTCATCTCCCACACAGGACGAACAAAAACACAAACACAAAGAGACGTCGACACCCAGGAAAACGTGGGGAGATACGGGAAGCGGTAGGGAAGACGAACTCCCAGAAACTCTGAAGTTTCTGGAGAGCCTTGGATTTGTGCCTATCTACTTGTGTGTCCCCGGGCCGCTTTGACCGCGCAGTCCCCACCCCTGAACAGGAGGAGGAGGAGGAGAATGAGGAGGAGGAGGAGGAGGAGGAGAGAGGGGGAGGGAGGGAGGGAGGAGGGAGGGAGGGAGGGAGGGAGGGAGGGAGGGAGGGAGGGAGGGTCGGGAGGGAGGGAGGGAGGGAGGGAGGGAGGAGGAGGAGGAGGAGGAGGAGGAGGAGGAGGAGGAGGAGGAGGAGGAGGAGGAGGAGGAGGAGGAGGGCCAGGGAACAGGGCGACGCCGTGATGGTCGGGATGCAGTCGATGCCCAACTTGCGCAAGGCGGAGGGCGGCAGGCTGGGCCACCTGTAGCGGGCCCGCAGCAACGCGTGCTGCGGGCCCCTGTGGCTCCTCCCCTTCCCGGGTCGTCCCTTGGAGCGCAGGAGGTTGGGTGGCCTTCCATGGGAGCTCAGAATCAACGCACGACGAACCATTAAAGGTCATGTGAGGCAAATTAGGAACCACGTGCCGCTGCTATCGAAGGTGATTTAAAACCAATCAAGGCAAATTAAGGCGCCGCAGCGCGCCCTATTTGGCCTTATTTGGCTATACCCGGGAACAACATGATCACTGGGAGCTCCCGTGAAACACCACCCGAAGGAGGGAGAAGTGTCAAGCAGTGGCGAAGCGTCTTGGCTCGCCCATAGGCCCACCAAAGAATGTTCTAAGAACCTTGTGTGGGCTGCACGAGATGTTCTCAGACCATTTCTGGCTGGGACGGTCGTGTTTTAACACACCGGATCTATGTTCTAAGAACATTGTTTTTGTGATTCGAACATTTTAGGGTTCTAAGAACATGTCGTGGTAGGCCTATAGGAATGCCGGGACGGTCGGTTCCTGCTCAAAAGTGACCCCACCCACCACCAGTGGGCCACCTCCAGCGAGGAGGTCCTCGATCCACCACGACGGAAGCGGGGTGCTGAGGGAAAAGGGTTGTGGGCGTTCTTGTTCGCCGTTTTGGGGCTCCCGGGGCCCTGGGCCCCAGAATCGCACAACCACTATTGCATATGCCCGCTCATACTCTACCTATGTGTCACATCTCCTCCTGCTCTTACCTACCCCAGGCGCCCGACTGCACCCACTGTCCATGGCAGCCCCCGTTTCAGGAGCTGTCCAGCGTAGAACCTGTCCTGGCTGCGCATTTGCCCTGCGCACTGCACTCTGCATGACGCGTGGCAAGGGGTGAGGGGCAGGGAGGCTCGAGTAGGGGATCGACAACAACACTGAGTCATCCCAAACTTGATTTTCTGGTCGACTCTACAAGAAAGATGTACAATGTTCGTAGATCTACGAAAGTTGTACGCATGTTTCGTAGATTTTACGGACAGGTCAATTTGGGGGTAATTTTGTTCTGTAGTTGATCCCCTACTCGAGGGGTGGGGGTGGGAGGGGCGGGGGGCGAGGAGGTAGATCGAGGGGAGGGCGCGGGGCCGGGGGAGAGAGACAGAGAGAGAGAGAGAAAGACAGAGAGAGAGAGAGAGAGAGAGAGGGAGAGAGAGAGGGGCAGCGCAGGAGGACCAGAACAGCAGGAGCAGCGGTGGCGGCGGCAGGGGTGGCAGCGGGAGGAGGGGGAGGATGAGGGGCCAGCCACGCGCAGAGGGGGGTAGGGGGAGGGGGGAAGGCTTCTTAGAAGCACCCTTGCTTCTAAGAAGCCTTCCCCCCTCCCCCTGACCCACTGTGCGCGCCGCCAAGAGGAGGAGGAGGAGGAGGAGGAGGAGGAGGAGGAGGAGGAGGAGGATACTTTGTCGAGGAAGCATCTGTGTATCTATCTACATACATAGACATGCAGTCGAGGCTGACAAGTGGGTCGACCCTGCCAAATCAAGGGTACCCTTGTGTCCCGTGCTCCGCGAACCATGCCTTGTGCATTCCTGTGGCAACGTGGCCCTCGGAAAGGGTTTGGTGCCCTCTGCCGTGTCCTTTCCAGTCAGCCCCGGCTGGCGGCGTCGACACACATACATACATCCCTACTCGTATACAGATATCGAGCATTCAGCTGGTGGGTGGATTGAGTGAGGGGAATGCTTGTGTGTGGTGGTGGTGGCGAGGGGGGAGGGTGGGAGGTGGGCATTGATCAAGGGATGGGTGGTCCCGACCTTCCGAGGGGCACCAGAAGGATACCCGAAGATTGAGGCATCATGTTCCAGTGTGAGTTCCAGCCACCTCGTTCTAAAATAATACAAACTCAGAGGGGCGACGAGATGATTGTGGTTCGCGGCTTGCGCACATAGTTACGCGTCTTTCATGGTAGTGCACGGGGAATCCGAACGCGCGTCGCGCAGCGTGAAGCCAGGTGTCTTAGCTCTACCAGGAAGCTGGACGCACATGACGGGGCCGGCTTGGGCGAGAGTTGGGTGCACATCTGGCCAGATTTCCGTCTTGCGACCGGCCCTTCTATGGCCAGGCATGTCGGACTTCCCCACGTGTAACCAGCGCATGGCCTCCGGATGTTACACAGCACACGTCTGGTAGCTGTCCTCCTGCAGTCCATTTCTTGTCCTCTGGCGTCACAGGTGGGAGGGAGGGTGCAGCCCAGTGACGTAACGTTTTGCCCCCACGGGTTCCCAGAGCCCGCTGGCGCCAAACAGTGTTACTTCATCACAGGGGGTGGGCGGTCCTGGTGACGGCCCCTAGCCAGAATTTCGACGTTGTGATTTTCTCATTGCGTGGATCCCTTGAGGTCCCGACCCCTGCCCCAGGACTGGTTTCAGCCACGCGCAGAAGGGGGGTGTGGGGGAGGGGGAGGGCTTCTTACGAGCCCCTCTGCTTCTTGGAAGGCGCGGGCTTTGTACGTAGATGTGAGGCCGGCGCCTTCCGAGAAGCAGCCTCCTTCTAAGAAGCCTTTTCCCCTCCCCCCTGCCCCTGTGTGCGCCGCCGAGAGGGGGAGGGGGGGGGGGGCGGCGGGCGGGGTCGGCATGCGGAGAGACGTGGGCCCGCGGCGCCCAGGGGGGGGCGCGGGGCGAGGGGGCCGTGTGTGCTTTTCTCGGCGCGGCCCGCGCCGGAAAGGCTGGACCATCCTGGAGCATCCTGTCGGCGGCGACGATAAGGGCGAATAGCCCAGGGGCGGGCATTACACGTATCCGCCCGGGAGCCTCGCCGGAGACATAGATCATCGGCGTCCCTGTGTTACATGTATTGCCCCCCCCCTTCTGCTATTCGCCCCTGTCGTCGCCTCTGATCTTGAGCCATCCTGGAGCATCCCGGCCCATCTTCAGGAAGGGAGCACGCACACGAAACCATCGCAGGCCTCGAGGTTGACACCAACACCAGTATCGACAGAGTGCCTCCGCCGAGGGAAGAAGATCCCGATCTCGGTGATGGTGACAATATTCTGGCTTCCGAGGCGACCGAAGTATTACCACCGACACCGAAATCCAGGATCATCTTCCCCGTTGTGGAGGCAGTGGCGAAGCGTCCTGGCATGCCTATAGTCCAACCAAACAATATTCTAAGAACCTTTTGTGGTTCCCACGAAATGTTCTTAGAACACTTCTGGCGGAGCCCGTCTCGTTTTATCACACCGGGCTCATGCTCTGAGAGCATCTGTTTTTTGTTCTCAGAACACTTTCCGGGACGGTCGGTCCCTGCTCAACTTTCGGGCCGGACGAAAGGGGGGGGATTGGGAAAGGGGGGGTTACGAAATTTGCTGCATGCAGCTGGTTTGGGCCCCACCGAGGGGCCCATTCCTCGATACATAGCCGCCTCCAGCGCCGGGAGGCGCCGGGAAAATCAGCTACGTGAGCTGATTCTCAAACCCCCCCTTTGCTATCCCCCCCTTTCGCCCGACCCGAAACTTGTGGAGGCAACCCCCTGTGTTGGTGCTGGTGCCCGTTTCCAGGCCTCCAAGACAGAGGCGGTGTGCACGGCGAGTGGGCGTCCGAGTCGCTTCACCGCCCGTGAGAGAGGCCACCTCGGCCGGCCACAGCTGGAGTCCCCCCCCCGCGGGCGGCGATGTGCACCGCCCCTGGGTGGCACACCCTCCCTCCCTCCCTCCCTCCCTCCCTCCCTCCCTCCCTCCCTCCCTGCCTCCCTCCCTCCTCCTCCTCCCTCCTCCTCCTCCTCCTCTCTTCCCTCCTCCTCCTCTCCTCCTCCTCCTCCTCCTCCTCTTCCCTCCTCCTCGTCCTCCTCCTCCTCCTCCTCCTCCTATCCCTCCTCCTTGCCCTCCTCCTCCCTCCTCCTCCCTCCTGGGCCAGTATCAGTACACGGTCGGAGCGAGGTATAGAATCGAGGTCGGTTCGGAGGGCCGAGAGGGCTTCTCTGCAACAAGACGACGCGGGGCAGCTCCTGAGCGGCCAACCCTTGTATGATGGCGCCGATCGGCAAAAGACGGAGGAAAACAAAAAGAAGGAATCGAGGTCGGTTCGGGGAGGGTGCTCTAATGTTCTTCGTGCCTGTTGGGTGTTCTCGTGCATCCGGGGGGAGGGTGCCCTGGAATGTTCTTCAGTTTGGCTGGCGGAGGGTCTCGTGTTCTTGCAGGAGGCGTCTCTGTCCCAGGTCCGGCTGTGCACGCCCCCCCCCCGGCAAGGGCATGAAGGCGTACACGCCGCGCCTGGGACCAGGAGAGGCCAGGGCTGGGGGCAGAGGATCTGTCCAAGGCGGCTTCCCTCGCCCCGTCCACTTGTGGGCTGCGCGCGGCCGGGCAGGAGGGGGACGGATCCGTCGAGCCCAGTGCGGGGTGCGTCCGGTGCAGAGTCTAGGCGTGTCCGGCTCGACCAGCGCCTCGAAGAGGATGATGTTGGTGCGATCCGATTTTCACTGCTGGGTATTTTTGCGCAGCAGGAGGGGCCATCAGGTTCGGGAGATGGGAGGAGGAGGAGGGTGAGGAGGAGGAGGAGGGTGAGGAGGAGGAGGAGGAGGAGGAGGAGGAGGAGGAGAGGGAGGAGGAGGAGGAGAGGAGAGGGAGGAGGAGAGGAGGAGGAGGAGGAGGAGGAGGAGGAGGAGGAGGAGGAGGAGGAGGAGGAGGGAGGAGGAGGAGGAGGAGGGGGAGGGGGAAAGGGAGGAGAAGCGCCAAGAGGAGGCACGCAAGGACGGAATGGGAGGTCGGTCGGCATGTAGCTCGAAGGCTGCTGCATATCCGCGGCGGGGTGGTCCTGTGATTCGGCGACACCCGCGGCGCGCAGCCCCGAGGCGGCACGTCGGCCGACTCGCTGAGAAAAGCAAAGCGGTGCGTGCCGCTTCCCTGGAGAGCTGAGGGGGCTCGCTGGAAGCCCACATTGGGACGCTGTGCACCACCACTGCGCCCTGGTCGAGGCTGAGACGTTGAGTCCATCGCAGAAGAAACAACCCACTACATGAGCCGAATCCGCGAGGTCCTCCGAGAGTTCATGCTCGTGCAGCTTTCATGTCTTATCCAAGAGCTCGGACGTTGGATCCACCACCCCATGGCCCAGGACAGCGTTGGCCAGGGGTTGTGGCACTGTGTGTTGTTTGTGTTGTTCAGGAGGGGGAAAGGCACACAGACAATTAACCGCCGATTCCAAAGGACATATGGGAAATTATGGGAAGTGGAGGGGGAAGACGAAAACCTTGAAACTATGTGAAAATATTTGGGATCCTGGGATAGGTTGTATTTATTTGGGCCCCTTCAGTTGTGTGTGTGTGTTGTGTGTGTGTGTGTTGTGAGTGTATGTGTGTGTGTGTGAGTGTGTGTGTTGTTGTATGTGTGTGTGTGTGTGGCTGCCGCCTCGCGGCTCGGCAGGGGCCCCCTGACTCGGCTGGAGGGCCTTTCCGCGCTGTGCTTCCAAGCGCTCCCTCCCCCTCGTCCTCCCGTCCTCTCGGGTCGGGGGGACGAGGGGGACGAGGGCGGGCGAGTTGGCGGGCGGGCGGGCGGGCGTGCGTCGTCGTCGTCGATGCCGTCGTCATCGTCGTCGTCGTCGTTGTCATCGTCGTCCGTCGTCGTCATCGTCGTTCGTCGTCCGTCGTCGTCATCGTCGTCCGTCGTCCGTCGTCTGTCGTCCGTCATCCGTCGTCTGTCGTCGTTTTCCGTCCGTCGTCCGTCGTCGCCGTCGTCGTCGTCGTCGTCGTCGTCGTCGTCGTCGTCGTCGTCGTCCGCTTTGGAGCCAGGGGCCGAGCAGATTTTGGTGCTCGCCTCCGCGGCGCTGCCACGCCGAATGCAACACAGAGTACAGTGGAAGCCCATGCCAAGAATACACCGAGTCGGATCTTGAGCTCGAGCTGGTCGAGCGTCCCGAGTGTTTTGATTGCGGCCAGATCTGAGCTATGCGTTCGGGCAGCTCGGGCTGAAGATCCAGATCAGCTCGATCGGCATTCTGACGCCACGGTCGACCTGATCCACAATGCAACAGAGCACAGCACTTCAACGCGGCATGGCGCGCTTCAGTTCATCACAGCACAGAGTAGCACAGCCCCTGGCACTGTACGTCGCCATCGCTACCTTGAGCATTGCCATTGCCCGCCGCCCAAGTTTGGTGTCTTGAGCGGTCCCCATGCTTCACATTTCTATACAGTGGAAACCTATGCCAAGGAACACCCTGCTTGCCTCCAGTTTGCCCCGGGTTTCTTGGGTTTCAGTGGTTTCGCTGAGGAAGCCGTGACGCTCGCGCATCAAACATCAGTGGGCGTCCTGGGGTCTCAGCGTTGGGTTTCTCGTGGAAGGTTTCCTGTGGTCGAGCTCCTACTGCACCCCTTTCTGGGACCGTGGGTCGATCATGTTTTGTCACTGGCCCCAGGTTCGGCCCAGGCCCTCGCGGAAAAAGTCGTAGAGAGAGCCTCCCGCCGTGGGTTCTCGTCGCGGCGCGAGGGCTTCTTCGGGGTGGATTCGGGGGAGGGCCAGTGGAGGCAACGGCGGCTCTCCCGCCCGTCACGAGCCCGCCCAAGAAGGCTGGCCCAGGACCCCTGACCCGTTGCTCGAGTAGGGAATCGGCCACAGAATCACTTGACTCCCAGATTTACCTTCCCGTGGAATCACCGAGCAAATACGTAGAAGTTCCGTAGAGCTACGGGGCATTCCACATATGTTTCGTGGATCCGACGGAGAATCATTGTTTGGGTGAGTCAATTCTGTAGCTGATTCCCTCTCTGAGTTTTTTTTCGAATCTGCGGAGCACTCATTCTACGTATGTTTCGTAGATCCGATGGAGAATCCCTGTCTGGGTGAGTCCATTCTGCAGCTGGCCCCCTGTTTGAGTGTTTTTTTCGAATCTACGGAGCAGTCTACGTTTGCTTCGTAGATCCGACGGAGAATTCCTGTTTGGGTGAGTCAATTCTGTAGCTGACTCCCTGTTTGAGTGTTTCGAGGCGCCACCGGCCGCGGCGGCGAGGAGCCTCCCGGGGAGGGCCCAGCAAGGATGCAGGAAGGCCAGGGAGGGCCGCCGGTGTTCCCCAGGCGGAGGAGGAGGAGGAGGAGGAAAAGGAGGAAAGGGAGGAAGAGGAGGAAGAGGAGGAGGAGGAGGAGGAGGAGGAGGAGGAGGAGGAGGAGGAGGAGGAGGAGGAGGAGGGAGGAGGAGGAGGAGGAGGAGGAGGAGGAGGAGGAGGAGGAGGAGGAGGAGGAGGAGGAGGAGGAGGAGGCCGCGCTCCTGCAACCCTCCGCGAAACTTGACTCGAAGAAGAAACACACACATAAGCATAAAACTTTTGGCGCTCCGCGCGGAGTTCTTGGATCCGCGCCTGGGCCCCCGAGCGGCGCCTCGGGCGCTGCCCCTGGCGCGGTCCGCGCGCTAGGGAGGGGGGTGCAGTAAGTTTATGTGGTTTTTCTTTTTCTATTAACGCAAGTTTTGCCGACCCCCCCTCGCCCTCAATTTCAATGTTCAGTTGTGCGCGCGGCGCGGTGCGCGGACGCCGTCGAGCAATTCGAAAGAGCGTGCCTCGGCATCAGCATTGAGATCTGGTGCTCTGGGGGCGCCGACGCGGCGCGGGAAGACTCGCGTGAAGTTCCGCGGAGGGATGTGGGCATCGGGAGAGCCCCTCTGGGGCCTTCCAGGTGGGGTCCGAGGACTGGGCCAGGTGGGGCCTCTCGGAGTCTGCGAGCTGCGCCGCGCTCCTTTTCGCCGTGGCGTCGCAGCGTCGTCTGGCATGACCCTGCCCTTGACCCTTTCTGCGGTAATTTACTGCTGCGGGCGGTGGTGGTGTATAGAAATTGGCCTCGCATTCCAGGTGGGGTCCGAGGACCGTGGCGCATCGCCGACGCACCGGCGATGCGGCTCGATGTGGAGCCCGATTTCCTCCACGCTGGCGTCGCCGATGCACCGCCGACGTCGCCGATGCATCGCCGATGCATCGGCGATGCACCGCCGATTCATCGGCGATGCGGCGCGGTCCTCCGACCCCATCTGTTCCGACCCCACCTGGGGGCCTCTAGTCATTCGGCACGCCCCGACAGCCCTGGAGAGCCCGCACGGGTCCTTGGACCAGGTGGGCACGTGGCCGTAAGCCCGAGGCACAGCGGAGGCTGCCGGTGTTCACACGTTTTGATCTCTTGGTGGCGGGCATGAAGTGCATCCGTTGGATCCGCCATCAATCTTTGAGATCAAATTCAGTGTGGATGAAGACATTCTTAAAATCATGCCCAAAAATCTTGTGACATTTAAGAAGGAAACGAAAAAAATAACGATCGATGCGTGCTTCAGCGCGATGAGCCATCGATTGAGAGTCATTTTTTATTCTTTGTCCTGTTTTTCAAGAAAAGATTGCTGGACTATGAGAACAGTTAGTAGAACATAAAAATAAAAAAAAGAACATTCGATTGATGATCTACGAACTGATGTTCATCATCAATCAAGTTCGTTTTATTTTTTCTGTTCAAGCTTTTTCCCATTTTGTTTCCTGTGAACTTTCCTTGACAGGGAAAGAAAGAGAGAGAGAGAGAGAGAGAACGGCCAACGCCTGATGGCGGAAATGAAATCTCTTGGCCGCTCATCTTCTCTCTCCGTCGTTCACAGGAAAAGAACAAACATCCATGAATGTCGTCCATCTGCTGCAGATGAATCGTGTTTTTTGGTTATATATTATATATATTTTATGATTGTTATTGTTATTGTTATTGTTATTATTAGTTTATCTTTAAGAACTATTATTATCACTGCCCCAGCAGTTGCAAATGATTGGTCATCTGCAGCTGGAGGAAGTAAGGTTCATGAGAGGATTTCTTTTCATTCGTTTTCAATGTATGATTCTGTATTAGGTCTTAACTCCTTTACGGTCATCTCTTAAAGAAAAGGGAAGCGTTTGCTGGTGGCAAGGCCTTGAGGCCCAAGCGAAGCTAACCAACAAACGATTGTTTCCCTTTCAAGAGATGTTCGAGCAAAGGAATAACATTTTTACATAAGTTATGGAAGAATAACCATGCCGCCTTTCTTATTCAAAAGACAGTTTGATAGAAGTTAAAAAGAGAAGTACGAGCAAGCTGATGAAGAGCACATTTCCCTTTCATGTTCTTTTTTTTGTTTTTTTTTCACTTGCTCTCATCTTCTTTTCTTTTACATTTACATATTATTATTGAAAATCAAAGAGATGGAACGATAAACTTACAACACAAAATATAATAACCAAGAAAGGACATGCTTATGTTTGATTCAATTTTCCTCTTCTCTCTTTCATCCTTATGATCATTTTGTCTTCTCCAAAGTAAAATGATTGAAAACTTATTTCTTTTAGAATGTTACCATTCGAGACGTTTTCGTTCTATTTTTTTTTTGTTTTTCGGTTTATTGTATCATTATGAAAACCGGACAAGGAATTCACACCATTTGCTTTTTTGTTTTCATTTAGTGTCCTCCTGTTGTACGAGCTGTTGGCAAGGTTCTTTGGGACCCAGCTTCAGGCTGACCAACAGCTCAAACAAATAATTTTGCAAACCCGCACAAATGATGTCACCGAGGGTCTTCTCTCTTATGAGGAGCCTATCTGCGGACAGTCGAAGATGGTTGACTTTGCCATTGCAGGCTCTTATTAAATAGAGAATGGGACCTTCGGTCGATCCTTTGCATATTGCTGGCGTAGTGTGCTGGCCTTAGGCCTTAAGCACGCCAACGCAAGGGACCATATGGTATCTTCATTTACACAAAAGAGGAAATAACTGGTGGAAATGAAAACCAGGACTTTAGGGCCCAAGGCTGATGCCATCTCCTGGCCATTATGAACAAAAGGAAGAAAGAACACTGATAGATTTCCGGAATAAATCTTTCAAACTCATTTTTATTTTTCTTTCTTTCTGATTTGGCCACGGGCCGTCTTTAGGATTTCATTTTTTAATGAAAAATTATCTGCTGACCAGTCTCAAGGAAAGAAAGCGAATAAAGGCCAGCAGATAGTGAAAAGAAGAGCTCCTTACGGATCTCAACTCCTTTGCAGAATTCGTTCTCCGATGCGGCCAGGGCATCAATCAAGATAATGCATTTCAAGGCGAATGGTGGTCATGCGGTCCAAATTCTCTCTTCTTTGATCGGGGCTCACGATTTTTTTTTCTTGTTTTTAGAAAGTGAGCCCCCAAAGAAAGAG